ATACCAACTACCTGATTGCGCTCTTCGTTCGTTGAACGCGGCATGCTGTATCTTTAGATTTAGATTTTTTGAAATAAAACTTTTAACATTTTATTCTTGGCTACAGATAAAAGATGTGTTAAACCCGTAAAATAAAATTTAAAAAACGGAAACGTTCGAGAAAAATGACAAAACACGATTTTTAAACAAACAAGACCACAGCTTTATTTACTGGGCACCTGATCATAAATGCATGCTGATCAGGAGCGTCAAGTGTTCACAATCACGTGTGGAAAATTTCAGCTCAATGGGTTTTCAACTTTTTATGAAACACGCAATTAAAATATGTCTGGTTTTTATTGACGCTGAGTATATTAGTGTTGTGAAAACTTCAACCGTTACAGCTCAGGCGTCAAAAGATGTTGGAAAATAATCATACGTCCTGAAGTTTCATAATTTATACAGAATAACACTGCCAGTAGTTTTTATTTCATCGAGTTATAAAAATTGCCTTGTTTTCAGAAGCAAATTTTAAAAGTTCCAGTTCTCCCGAATCGATTTTCATGCGAATTCAACCATTTTGATGATCTTTCTTTTCCTTTTAAAAAGATGTAGGCCTGTCGGATGTGGCAGTACGATTAACACTGAGTTGTTTAGACCCATCAAAACACGAGGCCTCGTGGTTGATCACAAAAGTCTACGGGGCTTATCGAGGCTGATTCGCCCTGCCGCGTGCACATTCACTAAACTGCCTACTAGATAGAATCTACTACCACAGGTTCTCTACACGATCTTTGCTACTACTACTACTACTACATGTACTACTACGAGACAGTACGAGAGAGTGCCACTCAGGCAAAGATAGTGTAACTTTGACTCAGCCACGCTGTGTACACACTTTTTATACCCCAAATTTGACCCCGGAAGTCCATTCGGAGGATTTGACCTTTTCACTTGACCAAAGTGTGCCAAAAATGGTATCCTAGCTTTTGCCCCTCCATGAAGGAAAAATCTGGCCCTCATTCAAACCATTGGGATTATGCAAAATTTTGCGTATTGTGCTTTGTTCTTACAATATTCATTATGATTATGATTTATAAGTTGTACACTGAGATAAAACTGTACTAAATGAGAAAGGTGCACCATTATGAAAGTGGAACGAACTCAGTTGCCTGAAAAGGGTAGTTTGAGCATGTGTGGCCTAAATAAGCTAAAACCCCCTCCCTTACCTTATTTAGGCCATATGTGGCCTAAATAAGCACTCCCTTACTACAACCGTTGACTCGATTCGCATTCCTTGATTGATTAAGATGGACAAGTAAACAATAACATTGACAATTTGTAATGAGCCTAAAAATTTGCATTCAGCAAGATTTTGAACTCATTCAATCGTTCACTCTTCTATTCCCTTCGACCCACGTGTTAAAAAAAACAGTGAGTTCTGGCCTATGAAAGACAAGGTCCAACACACATGCGGATAACTTTAGAACGACATTGACAATGTACGCCATTGACCGATATTTATAGTAACAACCATCTTGTTTGACGTCTTTGAGGGTTTCCCACTTTGTTGTCGTTCACGGTGGCAACACGAGGCAGAGCACTATTGCAACATTTTAAAAGCCTGTAGCTTACACTGGCGTGGTGGCGGAGTGGTAGGTGCGCTTGTCTCCAAAGCAGAAAGTCTAGGTTCGAGCCTCGGTTCGGCCACGGATTTTTTTCTTGCCTCCTCCTGCCCACCCAACTGTAATGGGTACCTAACTTCGAGTTGGGGAAGTTAAGGACTAATTTTTTTTTTCTCAAAAATTATATAAGATATCAGAAAAAGACATTTTCGTAGCATGACGCACCAGTTTAGTCTACATATTTTATTCCCAGGGGCGAAGGCTGACTTGTTTGACAGGGTAATCAAAATGAGATGGGAGCAGATAGGGCCTGGAGATATCACACTCACACAAGTCACAAGAATCTTACTGGCACTGGAGGCGGCAACTCTGAGTTGGGAATGAAAACAAATCCTGAATTCATGTTGTATGCATATTCAACCGCTAAAATAATCGGGAAAGTATTTCATTAAATATTTATTCTAACTAACCTTAAATTTAACTTTAGATTTGAACACACAAACACCAAGGAAAGAAGCAGAGATGTCAGTACTACAATGGAATGTTATACCAGACTGCCGAAACACTTTGGTAGAGCATGCCAATTATTATTTTTTTATTTCACATTTGGCTGTTTTTGTCTAGCTTTTCGCGGCCAGGAGCCGGTGTCATAATCGAGGTCACGATCTGATTATAGGACGTTAAAAAGTCGAGGGGAAAAAACAAACACTCGCAGCAGTCAAGATATTATAAGGAGTTAGTTCCCCTCACATCTGTGAGGTAGACTCGACCAGTGTAATAGTTGGCTTACATAATCAGCGAGTGCGGCTGCTTATAACTGTGGCTCGAAAGGGGTGAACAGGGTATATGCGGCAATGAAACAATGTTGACTGCTATGCACATGTTCCCTTCAACTCTATTGGTAGACTCTTCCAGCCTCACTTTAAGCTTACTTAATCAAAGCTTGTGACTGCTTATGGAGTGGCCCGAGAGGGGTGAGCAGGCTATTTCTGTGGCAGCGAAACCTTTTTGAATGTTAGGCATACTGCTCATGGTTGATTATGAACGTCTTTTTACATTTAGTTTATGAGGTTTACGCCTATGGGTGAATTTGACTGCGACAATGGTTCAAAATTAGGAAGGGAAGCAGTGATTATTTGATTATATAGACGCTTCGCCTCTGATTATTCCCAAATTTCGCTTGCATGCTGAGAACATGATTAAGATTAGTAAGGAGCAGGGTCTTTTTTGTATTGAACAGAACCTCTCCATAAATTCCCCGTCACTGACATTTCGTAAGTTCTACGCACGGCATGGAAAAAATGCGTAGGTGCCCTCTAGACCTTTTGTGTCATGAGCAGAGAATCTCCGTCAGTTTTGATCTATAGTGAATCAAAACTAAAACTTTTCTAAATATGACTGACCACTTCAGATCGACCACGCACCATGTGCAGCCCTTTAAACGTCGCCAGGGTACAGATTTCAGTAGTCGAGTCCCATGAGATGTCAGATGTAGACAGCAGAAGCCAGAAAATGAGTCATCTTAACCTTTAAATTCTTCCATTTCTGTTTCGCGAGAGAAATAATATTCTCCTGTGCGAATGTATTGGTCGTTGTCAGAAACTGACGGGCGAGCTATTATTACTATTATTACTAGATGAAACTACGTCTTGGCCACTGTGTCATCAAATCTGATGTGATTGAGCAGGTGACTGAATCTGTTTGTTTGGTGTGGGTTTTTTTGTGAGTTTTGTTTTGTTTTTGTTTTTTTTTTGGGGGGGGGGGTGCTCTGAGTAGAGTGTTGCCTTCGACGAAATTAAAGCGAATTTTCCAGAGACACCTTGCTTTGATGAAGACTGCCAGTGTGAAGTAGGCATGCAGTAAAGGAAAGGCATCGCAATGGCATCAATGGGCTTCAATTTCTGCCCCCTTTCATCGTGACACCCTCTTTGTTTGTGGAATCTATAATTATAACGAGATAAATCATCTTGTCAACCTAGGAAGAGGCAGAAAGAATGCCTCGCCTGGTGAAGAGACGTGGTCATTTTTAACTTCACTTCTCATATTTTAATTTAAGGCAATATCTTGATTCATAATTATCAAATCTGTCTGGAAATTTAAGATAAGACAGTGCATTCATTTTACAAGGGAAACACGTTGAATGCAAAGAGAACAATGTGTTTAGTCATCAATATTGAACTCACAGTTGTCAGATGCAGAGTAATAGCTTCAGTAATGCGTGATGACATTTGGGGTTGTTCACATCGTCACATCGTCGACGATTGTACTGAATGAGTCGAGGTATTGTCTCTTTGAGGGATATTAATTCCTCTCTTGAACTAAATGCTTGTTCTAACAGGAGCATGGGTTCGGGGTTGATGTGGTCTGGCACGAATGGCGCGATCTAACATGTCCCGCAAGTGCTCAATTGGATTGAGATTTGATGAATGCGTTGGTCAAGGGTGCAGGAGAGGAATGTTGTTGGTTTTGAAAAATGGATTTGTCATAGCAGCTTTATGAGCATACATGAATACTTGTCCTTGGGCTTGGTTTTGAGAGAAAAGTACATTGGGCTAGAGAACTTGGTTGATGTAGCCTTGGGCTGTTATGTTCCCACGAATAGACAGAAGTGTAGTCTTGCCAGCATCACCGATTCCAGCCTGCACCATAACCCTGCCTCCACCGAAATTTTCTCGTGTCGCATACGCATATTCAATTGGCGTAGAGTGGAGCTTGAAAGGGCTAGCGCCAAGCCACTGATCTGCATGGGTCAAACACATTCCTAACCACTCGGCTACCGACGCAACTTTGGGTCTGTGTTGTCGGTTGAAATCAATTTCTCAAGCGTTGCGTTAGGGTGAAAGCGTCTTCCCTCCATTGTGTCTTTCTGCGTCCTTCTCGCTAGGGTCTGTTCATTAGGGAGTCTATCTCTGACAAGTGATATCGTGTCGCATACACAGTGAGTCGGCCCACTTCAAACCTTCTCGCGACTAACGAAACCGGAGTGCTCACCTGATGCGTCACTGATGTGATTTCTCTCTGATTCATTCAGCTGAAGCATGGTGAATCGATCAAGAGAAGCCACTTTTTGATGTGGCGAATAATTTGAAAGGAGTTTACGTTGGTATTTTTTGTTTTCAAAGAGAGAGAGGGGCGGAGAGAGAGAGGAGAGAGAGAGAGAGAGAGAGAGAGAGAGAGAGAGAGACAGACAGACAGACAGACAGAGAGAGAGAGACAGAGAGAGAGAGAGACAGAGAGAGAGACAGAGAGAGGGAGACAGACAGACAGACAGACAGACAGACAGACAGACAGAGAGGGAGAGAGAGAGAGAGAGAGAGAGAGAGAGAGAGAGAGAGAGAGAGAGAGAGAGAGAGAGAGAATTTAAATCGAGACAGATCAGTATTTTCTTGTTTGCAGGTGTTGAGTTTGTGGACGGATCTTTCGAGGACAATGTTGACACAGTGATTCTGGCCACGGGTTACGTCATCGGCTTTCCCATGGTGGAGAAAGGCGTGATCGATGTGAAAGAAAACAACCTGAAGCTCTACAAACACATGTTCTGTCCCGACTTGACCAAGCCCACCATAGCCTTCATTGGGAACATCCAGCCACTTGGCTCTATCATGCCTATTGCCGAGTTGCAAGGCAGAGTGGCTGTACGGGTGTTTAAGGTGCGATATCGCTGTTCTATGTTTTATAACAGATAGAGAGAAAAAGAAAGAGAGAGAGAGAGGGGGGGAGAGGGGGCAAGTCAGAACAGACAGACATTACACCTACACACTCACACACACACACATACACACACACACACACACACACACACACACACACACACACACACACACACTCAGAGGGAGGAAGAGAGAGAGCGAGAGAGAGAGGGAGAGAGAGAGAGAGAGAGAGAGAGAGAGAGAGAGAGAGAGAGAGAGAGAGAGAGAGAATATATAAATGTAGTGTATGTATATCGTCATTCTTCGTCGTCGTACTGGGTTGTTTTTTTCAGGAGACGCAAAGGTAATTTCATTTCCTGCAGGACATTGTGTTGATACAGAATGTTAAATTCCCCTAATTCTGCTACTATTTTAAGATACTACAATGTTAAATGTCTGATATATTAACCAAAGTGGTGTAGTTGAGCCTGTTTTATAACATTGTAAACAGTCATGTTTTATAACATTTTGGACAGTGTTCGACACCATCGATATGCCACTTCCATTTAGAATTTCAAACTCTATTTTCCTCACATGATAGTTTATCTTTTGACGTTCTTTTTTTCTTTTTCATTTTTTTTTGGGGGGGGGGTGTGTCAGTTCATCACTCGCTGAACTATTGTGTAGGTAATTCAATATAAAATGTATTCCACTGCCGACCTCCCAAAGTCCGCGGTCAACAGGCATGTCTCTGTGCCGAAGACAAAAAAGCTCCCAACTATCCCTGTGGCACCCGCCTTTGAGGTACCATTTTCTAACCGCTTTGGGGTGGTAGGGAAAGATGGGGTGGACTCTCCCTCCGCCCCCTCTTCTCTTCCCCCCCCCCTCCCCCCATTCTTCCATCCATTCTTCTTCTTCTTCTTCTTCTTCTTCTTCTTCTTCTTCTTCTTCTTCTTCTTCTTCTTCTTCTTCTTCTTCTTCTTCTTCTTCTTCTTCTTCTTCTTCTTCTTCTTCTTCTTCTTCTTCTTCTTCTTCTTCTTCTTCTTCTTCTTCTTCTTCTTCTTCTTCCTCATGCCCCATCCCTCTATCTTCCCAGCCCCCTCCGTCTGCTCCACCCCCTCCCTACCCCTCCAGCAGACACCTCCCTGCCTGTGAACGAGGACAGCTCCGCCCACCCGCTCCCCCTCCCCGGCCTGTCCCCGGGAAGGGCGGAACCCGTCACTCCTCCAAATCCTCCACTAGGCCGCCGTCCAATCCAGGAAAGCAGCCTAGAAAAACCTCTGCCTCCCCCGCAAGGAGGAGTGTTTCTTCGAAGCCGGGGCCTTTGTGCTCTAAATATAAAAAGTCATCATGGCAGTCCACTTGTGGCCTGTATACAGGAAACTAAGTTCGCGCCGGCATCAACCAAAGACTTAAGAGTATTTACTGCATATCATCACATTCACTCGGAGAACCAGACTGCTTCCGGTGGAACCACCATCTACACCGACAACAACACACTTCACAGACAAGTACTTCTTAGGACGACCCTCCAGGCTATTGCCGTAAGGGTCACCTACACCGACCAATCATGATCTGCTCTGTCACCAAATTACCCCCTCAAAATAACTCAACTAAGCGATGTAAAGCTCCAGTTTCCGAAGGTTTATTTTGCTAGGTGACTTTAATGCCGATAGCACCCTATGGGGAGACAAACCCACAGACCAGAAAGGGAAAATAATAGAAGATTTGTTATTTCACAATAACACCTGCCTCTTAAATTATAGGTCCCCCACTTCAAGAAACAGATCCACTTTTGGCACTTCATCCTATGACCTCACCTTTTGTACCCCTGACCTAGTCCCAGATCTTGAGTAGTCTATCCTCGATGACCGTACGGACCATTTCCCAATTCTTGTCAAAAAATAAAAACCTATCCCAGAACGTTTCAACTTCAAAAAAGTGCACTGGGGTGGGTTCGCCATTAAATGTTCCCAGATTCCGAATCCCACTTTCGACCTCAACTACAACAAATTCCACGAAGCGCTTCTAGAAATATGCCACAAACACATACCAAAAACATCTCCAAAACTCCGGAAAAACAAGATCTGATTCTCTGGGGAATGTGATGATGCAATAAACAAAACGAAGGCAGCATATCGAAGAGCCGTCAGCAACACCACCTCAGAAAACCAAATTAATTGCTTAAAAGCTCGAGCTGAGGCACGTGAATGCCTCAGGAAGAACAAAAGACAATCGTTCAGAAAATACATCCCCAAAATCAACAACCAGATACCACTCAACCAAGTTTTTAAAATCGCTTTAAAAAATTATGAGTAGACGCACAGACACCATCCGGCACGTCCAGAGGCCGGATGGAACCACAGCTGAAACACAGGTAGACATTGCAAACACAATAGCTACATCTCTCTCCAAAAACTCATCCAAAGCAAACTTCAACACCACCTTCTAAAACATCAAAACTAACAGAGAACAACAACACCTGAACTTCCACTCAAACAACACTGAAACTTACAACGCAGACGAATTAACATCGTGCATCGTACACATCGTACACTAGACGAACTAACATCGTGCACCTCGGACCTGGGCAATACGGCCCTGGGTTCGTATATCATCCACAACCAGATCATTAGACATTTACCCACAGAAACACTTACACTCCTACTAGAAATAGACAACAACATATGGCTGTCGCACTCCTTTCCAGAGTCTTGGCGTCTCGCCACTGTCATTCCAATACCCAAACCTAACAAAGACCACACACACCCATCCAATTACAGACCAATAGCACTGACGAGCTGTCTGTGCAAACTTATAGAAGAAAATTATTCTCAGGCGACTCATGTGGTTTCTGGAAACGACGGGCTCGCTGAGCGGTCTCTAGTCTGTCCTCAGAGAAAGTTGCATTTGAAAATAGCAAAAGTTGCAAGAAAATTAGCAAAAGTTGCAAGAAAAGTTGCAAGACGTGTATAGCTAAAACAATGCCACGGAACTATTGGAGAACATTGTTGCTATGTTCATTGCAATCAAAAGTAACCCATATGAGTTTTGTTAGATCAAAATCAGAAGTTAAATGTGAATGTCTACCAAAAATTAAACAAAAAACAAAAAACTGCATGGAGGTTGCTTGGTGTACATTAAACAGTTTGTCCACTAACACATGCGTCAGGTCCTTAAACTCTCTCTGACGTTGGGCAGGTGTGACTAGCGTGGTTTTGGGGCTGTTCAAATATAATTACAATCTGTT